GCCACGCCCGTCGTGCCCGCGCACCCGCCGCGCCGCCCGCTGCCCGCGCGCCGCCGCAGCTTCGGCCTGCCCGCGCACACGGGGCAGGCGGCGGCGGCCGCGGCGGCGGCCGCCGCGGCGAGGCTGTCGTGCCCCGAGGGGCGCGCGGGCACGTGCGAAACGGTCCGCGGCGGCAGCCCCACCTCGGACTTTGACCTCTGAGGCTGCGTTTGACCGCAGCCCGCTGCCTGCCGCGCCGCGCGGCTGGTGGGGGCGTTGCTACGCGTGTGCCTCGCCTTGCCAAACAAACGTCAGGTTTGCGTCTGCGCAAAAACTGGGGGTTGGCTGCGCGGTCAGCCTTGTATCTTGTTGCTCTGCCTTGTCGGCGCCGAGCACGGCCCGCGGAGGGCCGGCCGCGCACGGGGCCTGTCCACTGCTCTTATTGAATCGCACCATGGCGCGTCAGGCGCACCGGCGCCAGGGTGAAACTGCTCAGACCCGGGCCGGCCGCTCCTATGCACACCTCATCCGTTCGTTCGCGGCCGGGCGGGCGGGCGCGCGTGCGGCAGCGCGGCGTGCGTGTGGGGGCGCGGTGTGCGCCGCGTCACGTGGCCACGCCATGGCAGACTCCTTGATATGCAAGGGCGCGGTGCACGAGGGCGATTGCACGCAACACACACACACACACATACACGTGCGTGCAAAGCTGATGCCCCGCACAGCCGCTCTGCGGCGCACCGTGCGGCCCGGCCGCCGCCCGCTGGATTTGATTGTTTCGCTGGTTGTCAAGACTGTGTGGCTAGCAGGGGAACCCCCATCCCGCACCGGCGTGTGTTTTCATATCTGGTCACGGTTTGACTGTTCGAGTTTGGGTTTGGAAGGAATTCCTGTTGTGTCCGTTCTGTCCGTCCGCACGTCTCAATGTGGTATGCACCATGCATTCTCGGTCGCAGCAAGCACCGCGCCGCCCTTGCTTCTACCGCGCCCCACCCGCCTCTTCCCCGCGCCTGCCCGCCTTACGTCCGAAGAACACACGCGCGGCGCGCGGCCCCGCGCAGGGGCCGGCGCGACCGCGCGCTAGGCCGCACCAGCGGCTCAATCGGGGCCACCGGGGTGGCCCCGGGCCTCCTGCTTTCTTTATGCCGTCCCTCCCCCCATTTGTCATCATGTTCTCTGCCGGCCACGGCGTGGAATGTGTGGATCCAAAGGCAGCCTGCAGCACGCCCAAGAAACCCCAGCGCCACAGGGCCGAGGGCCCGCCGTGCCCGCGCCCGCGGCAACGGCCTCGCAACCGGGGCCTGCGCTCCCCTAGCGCCGCCCCCAGACAGTGGCGCCGCAAGGGGGCTCCGCGGCGCGCGGCGGCGGCCCTCGGTGCTGCGCGCAGCCCGAAACCCAGATGTGTCATGCCTTTCCGTGGCTTGTGCCGCGCCCCCTGCCTGCCCCCCTTGCTGGTTGTCGCGATCTGTGAGTGCGCAAGGAGCAACAGCGCCGCCCCGTCGGCGGCCGCGCGCCGTCCTCCGCTTGAGTGCGCCGCGCGGGCGCGCATCTGTCATCTGTGGGAGAGCGCCCGTGGCGCCGCGATCCGTCCAGCAGGGCGCCGTGCGCCCCGCCGGCCCCGCCGCCCGCCCACCATAATCGCCTCCACCCATGCCTTCATCTGTGTGTCACAAATTGTGCGTGTAAGCAGGGCAGGGGATGTCTGCTTCGTTCTGCATCCCTAGAGGGGTTGCTGGGTCGGGTAGGGTGGGGAGTGCTGGGTGGGGTGGGGGTGAACAGGCGTTCCAGGGTCTTAAGTGGCATCAGCTGATGGCTACACACACACGCCAGTGGAGTCACGTTACATGACGGATCAGCAGCCGCAGCAAGTCCACGGTGGCCACGGGCCACCCTGGCTCGACACGCATCCAGAGCCGCTGTCAGGTGTGCTCGGTACTGCTTCTGCCACTGTTGCTGCTGCTGCTGCTACTAGTGCTGCTGCTGCAGCGGCTTTGCGTGCTGCAATGTCCATCTCGGCTGCCACGGCCGCTGGGGATGCCGCTGTCAGCAGCCACCTCAGCCGCAAGATTGGCACCTGCTCCGCGCGTGGCATCGCTCGAGCCTCGTCTGCCGCTGCCTCCACAGCAGGAGTCACGACTGCCGCACGCGGGGCCGCCCCCGCTGACATAAGCGCTCGTAACGCTGCTGCCCGCCTCGCACCCGCTGCTGCCTCTGCCCGTCTGGGCTGCAACGAATACCTCTGCGGCCGCCGCCGCTGCCTCCGCTTCTGCATCCTGCGGCGTCGCCGCGTTGGCCGCTGCCGGCGCAGCCGAGGCCGCGGCCTGCAGCTGCGCCGCCGTTAGCTGCATCTGCTGCGCCCGCGCCTGCAGGCGCTGCAGCAGGCTGGACTCCAGGGCCTGGCGAAGTAACAAAATATAAGTAAGGAGGGGGTGGCGGCCAGTCAGTATCTGGTTTGCTGGACTGGGTCCATTAAGGTAGGCGTGGCAGTTGCTATTATTTTACAGGCGGACCGCGAGGCCGGCGGTGCTGTCTGTGTTCAATCAGGGGCGCCGGTGCGAAGTGACATGCGAGCCGTCGTCCCCAAGACACATCTGCTTCACAGCACCTGCAGCCGCCCGCGGATGGCCGTCGCAACGCTCTCGAGATTTCCCACCGCCGCAGCCCGCGTCTGCAGCGCCTCCGGTATCCTCCCCCCAGCCGCCGCCGCGCCGGCGCCGGCCCCAGCCCCGCGCCGCTGCGCCCGCGGCCGCCGCCGCGCGCGGCTGAGGGCGGTTGCGGCAGCGTGATGCTGGTCGGGGCGGGCCCCAGCATCTGGGTCGACCAGGGGGTGAGACAGCGCATGGCGCAGCCGCTTGGCGGCCGAGGCGGCGCCGGCGCCAGGAAAAACGGCGGCGATGCCGCCGCTGCCGCGTCTATGCGCGAGCAGGTTGATGTCCAGCCCCAGGGCGGCCGCGAGGCGCTCAGTTGGGTCCTCCAGCAGTGCCGCCGCCGGCGCCCCTGACGGCCCCTCGCGCCCGCCGTCGGGCGGCGGGCGCGGCTGCGGGCCGCCGCCGCCGTCGGATGCGCCGTCAGAGGGCAGCTCTCCAGTGATGCCGACAGCTGCAAAAGAGTGAGCAGGCATGCGGATACATGAGGCGAGCCAATTGCTTGCAAGCAGGATGCAGTCGGGGTCAAGAAGGGGTGAGTGCTGACGCGGGGCCGCGGCAAAGCCTCGGATGTGGGCAAAAGCGCGCGTGCTTATGCGTGGCGGCTTGGTACCGTATATGGTGTGCAAACCGCCGGCAATCAAACCGAGCTAGCGCTGAGGCCCTCAATTTCCTGTTGGCAGGCGCAGCTGCATGCGTGCACTAGCGAGCGTGCGCGTGCACACACACACACACACACACACACACACACACACACACACACACACACACACACACACACACACACACTGGCGGGCGCGCGCGCGCACACACACAACGCATCCGTGTGTGCATGCACCCGCGTGTGTGATTAGACCACGCCCACCTGTGAGGAATGTCGCATCCCTCAGGGGCCCCGCCAGACCACCACCCTCATCATCGCTGCTGCTGCTGCTGCCGCCGCTAGAACACGACTCATCACGTTCATGCTCCTGCTCGTCCTCCTCAACACACGACAGGCCAAAGTCGTCGATGCCCGCGTTGACCCGGTCAAACATGGCCGCCACGCGCTCGTGCGGCATCGCTGCCACTGTCGCCGCGCGCGCCGCCGCCAGCAGCGCGCGCCCCGCGGACGGCGGGTCGCGCACCGACACGATATCGGCGGTGGCGCCGCGCCGTGCCTCCCGCAGGCGCTGGCGGCGCTCGGCTCGTGCCTTTTTGGCGTCCGCATATGGCAGGGGCCCAAACGCGCAGGGATGCTGCGGCTTCAGCGCAGCCGCTACAGCCTCGCGGCCCTCCCCGCGGTTCAAGAGTGTCCTGGGGCTGTGCACCCCTGGCAGTGCCGCCCGCCGCCGCCGCGGCTGCTGCGGCTGCTGCTGCTGCTGCTGCTGCTGTAGCGGCTGCTGCTGATGTTGTGTTCTCCTGTGCGCCAGCAGCTCCAACTGCTGCAGCAGCGCTGGCAGGCGCGTCCCGAGGGATTGGCCTGTCAGGGCAAGGTCGGTTGCCGACACTGTCTGCAGGTGTATTTGCTGCTGCTGTTGCTGCTGCTGCTGCTGCTGATGCTGCTGCTGCTGCTGCTGCTGGGCTGTGGTGTGTGCTGCCACCCCGGGTCCTGCGCCCTCTGCTGGCAGGGCCTGGGCCGTCCCCACGATTTGAGCAGGCGCAGCATCCCCGTAGCCAGGGTGTGATGCGGTGCACCTTGTGGTGGCGGATGGGAGCGCGCCCGCCGCCACTGCCAACCCCTCGCACGACCCCCTCCGCAGGCGCCCCACTTTGATACACTCGGTCGCGCTGCTGGTGCTGCGTTCTGTGGAGGCGCCGGTGCCATGCGAGAGGCAGGTCAGACGGGAAGCCCTGGGGCTTGCGGGGCGGCTCGGGCGGCATAGCGGCGGCAGCCTGCTGCAGCCGCTGCTGGCGCCATTTGGTACAGCACCTGGTGGCGGTGCTTTCCGCTTGTCTGGAGGCGCTTTGCTGGTAATCGGAGACCTGCCAAATTTGGTGTATGATGTGTGCAGGGATTCAAGATGATAATGCGATTGGTGCGGTACAGCGTGGCTTGGTGGCACACCCACCAAAATCCATGCACCTCCACAGTACTCCCCCTGTGCGCATGTAAGGCTCCAGCTCCCCCACCTCTCTGAGAACGGCGCGATGCGCACAGGTTCCCGCTCGGCGGGCCCAGCCTGCCGCGGCATTGACCGCACGCCTTGATGCGCAAGCGCGACGGTCAACGGGACAAGGAGACGTTCCTCAGATATTGCGACCGGCGGTGCTTTGTGTACGTGATGTATCGTGCGGATCAACAGCTACATAGTCTTCGGCATGGTTTCGGCTTGTTCTCAGCGTACGAAATCAGTGCAGCAGGCGGGATTGCACGCATGCACGGCCTATATTATATTGCAAATTTTTCCAATGGTTGGGCATGGTCATATCTGGCAACGTCATCATATACACGCGTTAGAAAGCTAAGCTGCGTTTTCAAGCCTTCAATCCGGCATTCTGCGTCTCGCTCGTCACGATCCTGCAGGGAAGCCCTCCATAAAGCGTCGCGTATGATAACAACAAGCTGCCGTGGTTGCAGCAGGGTTGTCACTTGGCGCACACCGTCTGCTGCAGCTGGGGCGACGCGCCGGCCTTCGCAGGGCAGCAAGCGTGGCCGACGCCCCCTCAAATGGAGGGCCCAGACGCCATGGACGCCGAGTTCAACTGCATGGGCTGCGGCCCAGCGTGAGTTGCGATCCTTCGCTGATGGCGTTGGCTCGCATGCTGCACCCGACCATGCATGGCGCCCTCTCCCTGCCAAACGTGCGGCTCGCCGACGGCGCATGGTATCCCCTTGATTCAAACACAAACCGCCGCACCCACGCAGATCTTTGCACGACTTATCAGAGCTGGACTGCGCCTGCACGCTGTGCACGGCCTGCGCGCGCCGGGCCGTCGCGCCGCAGATCAAGCCGCGCAAGCCCGCGCCGGCCGGCGCCGCCGCGGCCGCGGCCGCGGCGTTTGCAGTAGGGGATGAAGTGCTGTACCTGAGGACCGGCCTGCTGCAGCGCGCCACTGTGCGGCAGATCGACCGCAGCGTGCACCCTCCGCAGGTGGGCGCGGCAGGGGCCGGCCCCTGCCTCGCATGCCGCGCTATCCGCCCTGCATGCTTAGACATGCATTGGGGGGGAGGGGGGGGCGGCATGCGTCAGCGGCCGTCGACCCCTCTATGGCCTTAGTCGCGCTGCTGTGGAAGCTAAGGGCGTGTCCCCTCCCTAGACTGTCGAATGTGGCCTGTCCTGACGCAGCATGCAACGCCGATGCGGCTGCCTTCTGGGCCGATCCCATCCCACCATACAGTATGGGATCGAATTGGCCAAGGAAGACGGCGCGGCCGCCGACAGCGGCGGTGAGCCAGGGTCCCCATGTCAGGACCGCTCGCAGCAGGGAGGGCTACGGCGCCCTGGCGTGCGCCTGCTCCTTTGCTGCGCCCCCTGCTGCAGTTCGCGCGGCGCATTCAACCCAAGAGTGCCTCTCACGCGCGGGCCCAGCAGAATTCGATGAGAAACATCCAAACCAGTGACAAAAAGCGCTGACAGCACCCCGCCTGCTGCAATCCTGCCTTCCTCAGGCTGCCTGCGCTTTACAGAGGGCCCACGCCTCCGGCCCGCCGGCGCCGCGCCCGCGGACGCTTGGCCGGACGTGACCTGTCCTTGGTGCTGCGGCGGCGTCGGGCGCGCCGCGCAGCGGCGGTTGTGCCCGGCGGCGTGCGCCGAGTTGGAGGAGCGGCTCACCCAAGCGTGGCTCGAGGCGCACGGCGCCGTCAGGTGCGGCCGTGCTGACGAGGACTGGGTGTATGGAGGGGATGCATCCTGGGTGGTTGCGAGCTGCAAGATCCGCTGCTGCGCAGCAACTGCCTGTTTGTTTAGCAATTGTATCCACTTGTTTCCTTGTGGATCCGGGACACAAATGTCTTGATCTGCTGCCCAGCAGCTGGCCTGCAGCTTGTCTGCGGCGGCTGGCGTTGCAACCATCATGTTTCCCCCCATGTTGTGTTTTGCAGGTGCCCCTGCTGCGGCGCGCTGATCGAACGGGTCGCAGCGCCGCCGCAAGCGCAGCAGCAGCGGCAGCAGCAGCAGCAGCAGCAGCAGCAGCAGCAGCAGCAGCAGCAGCGGCAGCAGCAGCAGCAGCAGCGTGGGCAGCTGCAGGAGCGGGAGCCGCACCGCTTCCGCTGCGCCCTCTGCCGCTCCACGTTTTGCGACGCGTGCCGCGCGTCCCCGTACCATTCCAACTTGACATGTGAACAGCACGCCGCCCCGCGCTGCATCTACTGCGCCGCGCCAATCCTGGACGCACAAGGGCCCGCGGAGCAGCGGGGTGCAGGAGGGGGCGGCGCGCAGGGGGTGGAGGAGGGGCCCCAACGTGAGGGCGGCGCGACGGGGCCGGCGGCGGCGGCGAGCGTGCAGCAGCTGCGCACGCGGATAGCGGCGATGGGGGCGGACGCGAGCTGGTGCCTTGAGAGAGCAGAGTTGCTCTTTGTGCACAGCCGTGCGGCGCAGGTGGGGGATAGCTGGGCGCCGCATGGTCTCGTGTGTGTGTGGCGGGGGGGAGCTTTCCTTTTGTGTGGGCGGTCATCCGACACGGCGGCTCTGCATCGCGCAAGGCGAGGGCCGCGGGCCGCGGGGCGGGCCTCCGCCCCAGAATTGGATGGCTTGCCTGAGTCCTGCTGTGCAGTGGCCGCTTTCTGTCGTCGATCGGCGCACGGCAACCATCTGTTGTGCCGCCTATGGCCACGCCCATGCCCACGCTTGCGCTGACGCTCGCGCACGCACACCGTGCAGGTCTGCGGCGCCGCCGAGTGCCGCTCCAAGCTGCGGCGCGCCTGCACCAAGCGCCTGCCCTGCGGCCACGCCTGCGGCGGCCTGCGGGGCGAGGCACCCTGCCTGCCCTGCGTCAGGGGGGACTGCCTGCTGACTCACCAACTGCCTCCCCGCGGCGGCGCCGCGTGCGCGGCTGCCGGGGCGGGCGCGTGCTTGATCTGCCTGGAGCAGCTTGACTCCGCGCCCTGCCTGCGGCTGCGCTGCGGCGCGGCGCACGTCGTGCACGCGGGCTGCGCGCGGGCGCGGCTCGAGGCGGGGGCGCCGTCGGCGGAGCTGAGCTTCGGGTTCCTATTCTGCCCGGCGTGCGGGCCGCAGGGCGGCGAGGCGCGGGCCTTCCAGGTGCGGGGTCCGCCCGTCACATCACCCTGGCGCCTGCCCTGCCGGCTGGCGCCACACTCTACCTGCCTGCCTGCTGCTGCGTGGTTGCTCCCGTTACTTTTGCTGCGCCATGCCCTGCCCGCGGCCAGCAGCAAGGGGCGATATGGTTGGAGAGACCCCTCCCGCTTCCTTGTGGGGGTGACGTCCCGGGTGTTGCGCTGTGGTAGCCGGGAAGACAGCGCGTGTGGCAAGGCCGGCAATCAGTGATTGGCCCGTCTCACATCGCCTGCCGCGTCAGGTGCGTGCCGGGGGGTGCGGGTGGCGCTCGTGTCACCCGGCGGCCGCCCATGTCACCCGGCCGCCGAAACTCGCGTCACCCGCCGCAGGTGATGACGGCGCCGCCCCACCTGGACCACCCGTTCCTGGAGTCAGCCCTGGAGCCGCACTTGCAGATGAGGTGTGTGTGTGTGTGTGTGTGTGTGTGCGTGCGTGCGTGCACGCGCACGAGTGCGTGTGTGCGCGTGTGCGCGAGCGTGCATGCGAGTGCGTCTGTGTGTTTGCGTGCGTAAGTGTGCGTGTGTTTTGCGGAGAGAGGGACGGCTTTCTCCTTCTTTTATGTTGCTTTATGCTTTCCTATGACTGTCTTCTGCACTCTTGTGTTGCTTGGTGTGCGTCTGCTGGGGCCGCCTGCATGCTTCGCAGGGCGCCAAAGTAGCGGCTTGAATGCAGCAAGAGTAGATTTGGCAATTAGCGCGTCGTGATACAAGCCCCAAGGTCCCAGGTCGCCCCTTGCTTATAGGGCGCCCCTCGCCCCCTTCCCGCACGCCGTTCTTTTTCCCTGCCCATCCCCGCCAACCCCCTCCCTCCTCCTGCTGCCCAGGGCTGACGTGGCGGCGCTCGCCAAGCAGCGGCTCAAGGTGGAAGGCCTCACGCGCACCGCCCCCGAGCTGCAGGTCCGCCCGCGGCGGGGCGCCTGGCGCTGCTGCGCCGCCCCTTCTCGCAGCAACGGCTGTCTTTGTCTTTGAGCCGTTACGGCTACGCTTTCTGGCTGAAGGGCGCCGAGAGCCTCGGGCGGGCTTGCAGCCTGTGGTGACTGTCTGCACGCGGCACTCTGCACAATCACCCACGAACATTTGCGCTGCGGCGCATGAACATTTTGCTACGCCGCAAAGGCGTGGCGCATAATTGACATGCTTGCCCACCTTTTCGCAGGTCGGGGGCTCGTTTGACGGCCGGCCCGCGGACTTCGCCGCCGCCCGGTTTGTGTTCTTCTGCTGCAGCCGCTGCCGCCGGCCGTTCTTCGGCGGTGCACGCGCGTGCGGCGCGGCGGGCGGCGGGGGCCGCGGCGGCGGTGGGGGCGGGGGCGCGGCGCAGGCGGACGAGGAGCTTGTGTGTGGCAGCTGCTCGGCGGCTGCTGGCGGCGGCGAGTGCCGCAAGCACGGGCGGGACTACATAGAATGGAAGTGAGGAGTCACAGTGCAGCCGGCAACGCTTGTTTACATGCAGCAACAGGGCTGTTCGGCCAAAAGAGGCGACGATCTGTTTTCCCCTCTGTGCCGGTGCCCTGACTCGGCCAGCGGTCCAGCGCACTCGTGCCCCCTTCGTGCCCTTGCCATCCCTCGTCGCCCGACCTCCGCCCCCGCCGCGCCCCGCACCAGGTGCCGCTTCTGCTGCGCAGTCGCCAGCTGGCACTGCTGGGGCAGCACGCGCATGGTGAGGATAAAGGGGGCACCGGCCACGAGCAACGCGTGCGCTTTGGCTGCCGCCTGCGCCCCCGCTTGCATCGGCCACGCCCCTCTCTTGCTGCACCTCTGTCCGCGCGCTGCCCCTTAGCAGCTCCGCCCACGCCGCCGCCGCCGCCCGCAGTGCGCGCGCTGCCACGACGAGCCCTCCGCGCGCGACGGGCACGTGTGCGGCCCCGGCAGCTGCAGCCTGCGGGTCCCGCACCCGAAGCCGGGCGCGGGAGAGTTCTGCCTCGGGTGCGGCCTTTGCCGCGCGGAGCAGGCGCGCTAGGCGGGCTTCGCTGCCGGCAGTGCGAGGCTGGGCTGGTCTGGACCGCATGAGTGCCTGCAGCGCTGAAAACACGTGCTGTGGAGCGGCGGGGTGCGACAGATGTGGTATGCCAGACTTCCCATCGGCTGTCCTGGCGCCGTGGCGGCCTCACGGCTGTGATTGTTGTCGTCATGTATAAAAAGGTTGGCGAGTCGTGCCCTGTTGGCACAAACAAGTTCTGGCTTGCAGCTGATGTTTTGGATATCCTGGCATCCATTCAGGGAATTCGAGCCATGTTTTGTTACAGGTGCAGCCTACTGAGGGGTCAAAATGCTGAAAAGCAGGTGACTGAGTCCTGTGGGGCAATCCACGTGACACCAAGCAGTTTTGTGGAACCGGTCGGCTTATTGTCGTTGCTGCTAGGTGGGTCAGTTCACATCCTGCTGTCGATTGTGGGTGGAGGGTGCTGCTTGTGTTGAGTGCGCAGAGGTACTTGGGGAGTGTGGGGCAAAGGCCTCATCAGTCGTATGTGCATCAGAACGTAAAAGGCCATGACAGACCAAAGCGATGACGTCAGGCAGGCAGGTAGACAGGGCGGCGCGAACATGAGAAAACGTGAATGATGGCGCGGAAGGAATGCGAAGAGGCGAAATGCCCGATGGTCAAGAATTTGGCTGCGGAACATTTCGAGCAGCACATGAAAGCAGGTCGGTGGCTTCTGGGCACGCACTGTTTGGCGTCCAGCGTGGTTGGAGGGGAGGGACGGTGAAGCCCGAGCCAGCGTGCGCCCCGGCGAGCGGGCGCGGGTGCGCGCCACTGCTGTGTAGGGCAGGGGCAAGTGCGCCTCACACGATCAGCAGCCAGTTGCGAAAAACGCGCCAGGGGCCTGCACTCCTGCCGCGCGCTGTCGGCTCAGATTCGTAAAATGGTTTCAAACCGCAGCCCCCTAATCCTCGTCATCTGTGAGCGGGTCGAAAAGGCGGCGCCGGCGGCCCCGGCTGCGACCCGAGCCGCCCCCCTCGCCGTGACCCGCATCCTCCGACACGGCGCCTGGTGGGTGCGCTGGCGCCTTGCCGTCAACCTGCGTTTGTCGCCGCGGCAGCCCGTGCTGCGGCAGCAGGACCGGGGGCAGCGTCGTGCCCCGCCGGGGCTTGCTCGGTGCTGCCGCCTCGCTGACGCGCCCGCGACGCCCGCGCTCCGCGGCGCCGGTCGCTGCGGGAGCCTTCGCGTGCCCCTTCTCGCCCTGCACCACTGCTGGCTGCTGCTGCTGCTGCTGCTGCTGCTGCTGCTGCTGCTGCTGCTGCTGCTTCTCCTGCTGCTGCTTTTTCTGCTGCTGCTCCTTCTGCAGCTGCTGCTTCTTCTCCTGCTGCTCCTTCTGCTGCTGCTTCTGCTGCTGCTGCTGCGTTTCCTGCTGCTGCTTTTTCTCCTGCTGCTCCTTCTGCTGCTGCTGCTTCGTCTCCTGCTGCTCCTTTTGCTGCTGCTGCTGCTGCTGCTGCTGCTGCTGCTGCTTTTGCTGCCGCCGCCCCGCCGACTCGAACCCCGGGCTCCCCACGTAGTCGCTTGGCCCCAGCTCCAGCTGCCCCGGATCCCCCAACTCGGGCCGACAGATCACCAGGACCCCCAGCGCGCCGCCGTCCGGCCCCTCCGCCACCACCCCTCCCGCTCCTCCTCCTCCCTCGCCGCCGCGGCCGCCTGCATCATCAACCACCGCGCTGCGCAGGCCGTAGTGCGCCGCCGCCTCAATTAGCTCCCGCGCCTCATTTCCAGACAGGAAGCCGGGCAGGACGACCGCCGCCACGTCGCGCGGCGGCTGCTTCGACCGGCCCATCCGCGCCAGCAGCTCGTTCCAGGCCGACTTGGTGGCGGACGAGAACAGCCGCAGCCCAAGCGCCGCCTCCGCGGCGGCGGCGGCCGCGAGGGCGTGCTTTGGCAGGCGCGGGCCGAAGAGCTCGGCCGCGGCCGCCTCGGCGACGCCGTCGCCCGGCGCCTCACCCCCGCCTTCCCCCGTGGCCGCGGCGTCGGCGCCGCCAGAGCTTGCAGCTGCAGGAGCGGCGTGGGTGATGACTGTGGTGATGCCGGCCGAGCCCAGTCGGAAGCCGGCGAGCAGCTGCAGGCTGCGCGCGGCCGCGCGCAGGGTGTCCAATTGTGAGGGCAGGTAGGGCCCGGAGAGGCACAGCGCCGCAACGCCGCTGCGGGCTGCGGGGGAGGGCCGATTTCCGCGTACGGGGCGGGAGGCGCGTGCGAGGGGCGCTCAGGGGGGGGAGAGGCGGCCCGGGCGCGCCGTGCAGGGGCGAGCAGGGCGAGGACAGGCGCGGTGCAAGGGGGACGGGGCCGGGCAGGCCGCAGGGGCGGGCGTGGGTTGTGGGAAACGTGGAGCTCAGTTGGTTCGAAGCGATGGGTCCCCGCAATACGCCAGCCACCTCCCTGACCCTCAGAAAGTGACGCCCTTTGCTCAACACCAAGCGGCCCCTCCCTTTCGCCCTGCCTTGACGCAGGGGCGGCAGCGTCCGGGCCTTTATTGCGCACCTGCGTCCTTGCTTGTCAGCTCCTGCTGCATCCAGAGGTTGAGTGCCGACCTCGTCAGGCGAGGGGCCGCCAGCAGAGGCTCATAAGCGTGCAGGCGCCGCGCCTCCAGCGCCGGTCCGCGCCCGCCGACGGCGGCGGCGGCGGCGGCGGCGGGCGCCGCGAGGGCCCACGCGCGGACGTGGGCCGCGGCGGCGCGCTGGCTGGGGGAGAGGCCCAGGGCGGCGGCGACCTCCAGGAACGCGGTCGTGGGTGTCACTGAAGGCGGCGGCGGCGGCGGCGGCTGGGGAGGTGGCTGCGACGGCGCCGCCGCCGGCGCAGCTGCCTCCGCCGCCGCCGCTTCGGGCTGCTTGCGTGGGCGGCCGCGGCGCTTGGGCGGTCGCGGCGCCGGCGGGGGCGCGTCGGCAGCCGCGGCTCCGTCTTGTTGCGCGCTGGCGTGGTCATGCAAGACGCTGGCATTGGCACAGATCATAAAGGCACGCGTGGCTGGCGAGCGCATGGCTGGCATGCGTAAACCTGGCTTGCGCACATGCTGCGACACCAGCGACACCAGCTGCACCGACGCAGCCAAGTCCGCGGCGGCTTGGGCGCCAGAGCTAGCGGCGGAGCCGATCAACCTGGACGACATCAGCATTTTGGCTGCGACAAGGGGATGCCTATCTGAGCGCGTTCATTGCGATCTGGCTGCGCGGTAAGCGTGGTGGTTTCTGGTTTGTGTCATCAATCGTGTATGATAACGGGTAAGGCGTATGATGCTAGACACCACAGGGAGGCCTGTGTTGCAGCTGTATGCTGACCATGAGGGTGGCGTGCTCTGCTGGCATCCCTAGGGCAACGGCAGCAAAGCAGACTCAGCACGAGCAAAGCAGCCATGCAGGCCGGCCACCCCGCCATGGACGGCCGCAAGACACACAACAACCCCAACGGCTCCTGATCAGCAGCACTCGTAGAATCCCTGCGGCTCACAAGAACCTGTCCTTGTTCAAGGAGCGCTGGAGATTCTGGGTGCTTTGGAGTTGCGACATGGCAAGGGCGGCGCCTGCACGGGGTAGCTGGCAGCGACTGCAGCACTTCCACAATGGGCAAGGTGGGTGAGCGGTTCGCCAATGACAGGGAGCTGACAGCGCTGCCTGCGACCGGCGCAGCACAGGGGCAGCCTGGGCAGCCCGCAGCACTCCTATCAATGTCCCTCGAATCAGCCGGGCTCCTGCGACCCAGCTGGATTGCTCACGAGTCATTGTCGATGGACTGGACGCATAATATTAAAATTGTAAGGCAGTGCTGCTCACGTACACCCGCTTCCTCCCCGTTCCGAACATGCGTTTGCAGGGAATCGTGCGCAAAGGGCGGGGTCAAACTACCCCCGTGCACCCGGCGGCCTCTGGTCAAACGGCCCCCTGCGAGCGGCACTTCAGGTCAAAGCAATCAGCGATGCCCGTCCAAGCGCCGCTGGTGAAGGTGGTGCTGTACATGAACCACGCAGTATACAGCCATGTAGACCCACAGGAGGCAAGAATTCTGCTTGCCAAAACACAGAACTGCATTCTTGCAAGGGGACCTGAAGTTGAATTATGAGGTGCGAACAAGCCCCCCCATTTTTGGCCTCCAGAGCACAACACGTGCAGGTGCATTTGTGCACGGAAGCAGCTGGGATTGTTGCCTCTCACCGTCCTGGAGGCGTACGTAAACTGCTCCCTGTTTCACCCTGACCTTGACAACAATACCCACCGGCCTGCACACTGCGCTGAGGTCACTTGTGGTCTGCAGGAACGCACACTCAGGACAAGACGGGCGGCCAACTGAGGGCTTGAGTTGCATTATGCAAGGCGGGCGCGGGCGCCATCGTTTGGCCCGCTGGGCGAGCTTCGCTGCCGCGCCTGCCCCGCAAGCTGCTGCCTGTCAGGATATTCGCAGCGGTGCCCGGCACGCGTTGCCCATTCTTTCATCAGGGGCTTAGCGCGCCCATGGGTCCTGATAGGCTGTTCACGAATTTGTCTCGTTGGCGGGACATGCGAACCTCCATTCTGAGCATCAACCCGGCTCGGGACGTCCCACAGCGTCACCAGAACGTCACACTGCTGAACTGCAGCAAGCAGCATGTCCCTCTCTAGGCCATCCGGGTTTGCCCTGCAATACCGGCGCATTGAACCTAAAACATCAGAAAGTACACGTATAAAGCTTCGTGCCGGACACCCGATTCCGCGGTCGCTGTCAGCACGACACGCCGATCTAAATGAGCGCAGGAGCGTGCCGCAACGGAAGATAATTGCACAAATTACAAGTCACCGTGAGTTCGGAGCCTTTCCTGTTGAACGCCTCGCCTCTGCGGTGAACACAGCAATAACTCGGGTGACAGGTGCTTGGAATGCAGGGGAAGCCTACACAAGTGTCACAGATGCCATTCATAGCCGTGGCTCCGTGCAAGCTCGGGCTGCACTCGACAGCCTCGCTGGTGTGCGGTTGCTGCTGCGTGTACAGTGTGCCGCGCCACCGTGCGCCAGCCCGATTGCAGACTCACACACCAACGCCGTCTCCCCCCGCGCGCCACAAACGTACCAGCACCGCTTGCTAGGCGGTGGCGCTGCCCCCGACGGCGCCCTCCGCAGACCCGGACGCACACAATTGGCAAAAACCGCTGGTCGCCCACCTCCCCTTGACTCGCGCACGGCGGTCGGCGGCGCGACCCATGCGGCGCGCGGCGCCGCGCTGGGGCCCGTTGCTGGTGGCGCTTGCGCTCGCACTCGTGGGGGCCGCGGCGCCGGCGCTTGCGGACGCGCCGTTTGGGGTGAGAGTGCGCTGCACAGGGCGCTCGACTGGGTGCACTCGGCTGTGTTTGCCTAGAGCGGCGGCGCGCAGCGGCAGGCGGCGCCGGCAGGCAGTTTCGAATGTGAAGGTCTGCTTCCGCAGGAGGCAGCAGCGGCACGTGCCAAGCACGCGTGGCGGCGCTGCCGGCCCACCGCCCGAACGCACCCGCTGTCGCGTGCAATGCCCTGCGCCGCGCCGCGCGCAGGTGCGCCTGTCCCTAGCCGCAGAGCCGGCGCTGTTTGGGGCCGTCATCTGGAACAAGCGGGATGGAGGAACAGTCACAGGCGTCATGCGGGTGTGCCGCCGCGCCGTCCGCCGCCCCCGCCCCCGCGTCGGCGCCCCGTCCGTTGCATTGCATTCCGTCCGGCGTGCGCAGCGCGCGCGGCAGCATGCGTTTGCTGCATGCCTGACGCGACGGCGCGCACGCACGGGCCGCGGCGCCGCGCGTCTGCGTGCGTTTTTGGCCGTAATTGGCCGCCTGGCGCCCATTGTGACTGGCATGCGCGTGTGCTCGCAGGAGGCGGAGCCCGGCGGCTGCGGGTCGTTCAAGCCGGGGCCCAAGGGCCTCAAATGGATCGCCCTAGTCCGCTTCAACGACCCGCCCTGCGAGCCGCAGCTGCAGGTGCGCCCGCCGCACCGCCGCCGGCCCCGGGGACGGCCCATCGCCCCGCCCCCGAGCCGCGCCTCACTGCCGGCTCCCCCGGCCCGCTCCGCGGCGTGCGGGGTGGGCGCCTGGAGTTTGACCGGTTGACCGGCAGGCAGCCACGCCTTGTGGCCGGCCGACGGCGGATGGTGGCGCCGTGCGGCACGATTGGATCTGCATGGGGCCCGTCTGCTTGACTTTGACCCTTGCCCGCCAAAACCACGGCCTTCCCCAGGCGCTCGACGCCCAAAGGGCCGGCGCCGCCGCGGTGATCGCCTATGGCAGCAACAGGCTGGCTCAGGATGTGATCATCCGCCTGGAGCTGCGAGAACAATTAGAAAACCCCAAGATTCCGGTGGTCAACATCAGCTATAAAAGCGGCCTGCAGCTGCTGCGCGCGCTCGCGTCCCTCGGGCCGCGGGAGGCGGCGCGGACGGAGGCGCTTGTGGCGGGGACGTACGTCACCGTGCGCGTGCCATTCATGGGCGTCGCGCCGCGGCTGGTGCGCGCCGCTGCGCGCGGGGCGGGCCTCGAGGGGCAGCCTCTCCGTGGTCAAACCTATAGTTTGACCGGTTGCACCCCGTTGCCGAGGGCTCCACGCCGGCGTCGTTGCCAATGTTTGATGCGGGATTGTGCAGCCAGAGTCTTTGGTTGATTGCACGCGTCCCTGCCTCAACGCCGGCCATCGCCACAGTCCCCACCTACACCCAATTTTTCCATGTATATGCGTCGCAGGCGCCGCACAGGAAGACGGTTGTGCTCTCCGGCAGCAACGAGGAGATCGTATCGGCTCTCCGCGCCGCCGTCGCCAGCCTGCGCCCCGGCGATGCGCTCCAGTTCGCGCCCGACGGTGGCGTGCTGACCGTGCCGTCCTCCGCGTCCCCCATCGTGATCGACGTTCCTGTCACAATCTCCGGCGCCCCGCCGGCCGCGCCCGCCGCAGTCGGGCAGGGCAGCCCGCGGGGGGCGCCGAAGGGGGCTGCCGTTATCGCGTGCGGCGACGAAGTGGACAACCTGATGATGATCAGGCGAGCGCCGGGGCGGCGGCGCAGGCGCTGCCTGCTTCCTCTCGCCGCGCGCGCGGCGGCCGGGGCGCCTGCGGCCTGCCTGGCGGGCTCTCTGTGGCGCAGCGCAGCCGATGGTCGTTGCTCCACGTCTGTAAACCCACATCCGCACACGCCACAGCAACGCGCTCCACCCGCATCTCATCCCCCTCATCGACCCCAGGACGCCCGGCGTTATAATCCAAGATATTACGTTTACCCAGTGCCACGGCTACCCCGTCGCCGCCGAGCGCGCCGGCAGCAACGCCCCGTCCGCGCGGGGCGCGGCCGGCGCCGCGGCCGGCGCCAACGCCGGCGGCGGCTCGAACGACGCGCCCGCCTACCCGCGGGACAACCCGGTGCAGCTGCGGCGCGTCACGTTTGTCGACACAGACGCGTCGGTTCTGGTGGCCGAGGGGTCGTCGGTCGCCCTCTTCAACTGCCGGCTGGAGCGGGCGACTATGTTTTCCAATGGGGACCCGACGATCTCGGCTGTGTTCTGCCAGGCGGGGACGAGCCTGTTCCTGGCGGACACCGACTTTGTAGGTGAGGGCGCTGCCAGCGTTGCCGTTGTGCCGCCGGCGTGAGCGAGGCGAGTTTTGTGGCCGCGCACGTGCGCGTGTGTATGTGTGTGGGCATAAATGCGCGAGTTTGTGTGTGTGTGGAAGAGTTTGTGTGTTTCTGTGTTTGCGCATGTGTGATGTGTGTGTGTGTGTGTGTGAGTGATTGTGTGTGAGTGTGCGTGCATGCTTGTGTGCGTTTGTGCACGCGCACATGTGTGTTTATGCGTGCATGTCCATGTTTGGCGCAAAAGTGCTTGACGTGTGTGCGTGCGTGGTGCCCGCGTGTCAGCCGCTGTGCTGGTCAGGGGCGGGCAGCCGCGGCCCTCACAGCCCACTGAATGCGCGAGGCGTTGGTTGGATGTTGGTTCTGGGATTAAAGTGACGGGTCAAAATAGGGGCCAGGGCGCTGACCCAAGGTTCCCATATCACTACAGTACCCACATGCACGCACACATGCACGCGCACGCGCGCAGGCAACCCCGGGGCCAGCATCTATTCAGATGCCCAGGAGCTGTCGGCAGTTCGCACGCGCTTCATCAACACGACGATGGGGCCCGTGGTCGCTGTCGGGTTCCGCCCCGCGACCGCGGCGTGGTTCTCATCCCTGAGCCTGCCGGCCCCCGCCGCGTTCCACTCCCACGCCACCTTCCGCGCGTGCGACTGGGTCGGCACCCGCGCCGGCGGCACGCTGCTGCTCCAAAACTCCGTAATGGCTGACGTGGCGGGCTGCTCCTTCGTCGACAACGCCGCGCAAGTGGGCGGCGGGATCATGGTCCAGGGCGGGTGGCTGCGCTCGGTTTCGAACACGACGTTCGAAAGCAACAGGGCCGCTTTTGGGGGCGCAGTATTTGTGGACGCGAGGAGCTGCACGGACTACCTGCGGTTCAGCGGGCCGCCGTGCGATATGGTGCTCGACGGGGTGCGCATGGTCAACAACACCGCGACCGCGGGTGAGCGGGCGGCGGGCGCGCGCAGAGCCCGAGCCCGCCCAAGTCAGCGCACGACGTGCAGCTTGCTCGCGCCAAGCGTGGCACCGGCTCGCGGCTAAATCTGCGCTTGGGGGCGCTGTGCGGGCCACCGCGGCCGGCCGGGGCTGCAGCCCCGACATTGCGCGTGGTGCCGCTGTGCCAGTCCTTTGCCTGCGACCTCGCAAGCAACCCAGCCCGCGGCGCCACGCTCTCAGTTGAGGTCCCGCCACCCACGCGCCGGATGGCGATTCTTGTGATTCGCAGACGGCGGCGGGGTGTACCTCTGGCGGGGCCCTGGCACCCGTTTCAACTTCACTAACAGCGAGCTCACGGGTAGGGTCCAGGGCGATGGGTTGGAGATTTTGGCCACCGTGCGCAATCGCTCGGCATCCAGCATCCACTCCAACGAGCCTGCATTGAGTCATTAGGAGTGCCCTGCGAAGGTGCATGCGCTGCGGTCGGCCGGTGCCTTGACAGCTGGGCTGCGGCCAGGAGGCGGCACTGTCACCAAGCGGTATGCGCATGTGATAGCACCACGCCGATCCGCGCTGCCGCGCCGCAGGCAACGTCGCCTTGGGACTGCCGGGGAAGGATGATCTGCCGTCCATTTGGTTCAAATGGATGCAGACGGACCGCCCCCTGTGCGCCGAGAGCCGCGCGTCGCAGCCGGTCGGGTACGGCGGCGCCGTCTTCGCGCACTTCGCACTCCAAGGCGGCGCCTTCCTTCGGGGCCTCCGCGCGGCACGCAACCGCGCCGCCCGCGGCGGCGGCGCGCTGTTTGCGTGCTCGCACGCGGCGGGGCCGGCGGGGTTTAGCAAGCTGGAGGTGACTAACTCGTCGCTTGATGGGAACTGGGCGGGCGGGCCCGCCGGGCCCGGCGGCGCGGCCGCGGCGGCGACGGAGGGCGGGGCGGTGCAGCTGATGGGAAGGTTCCTGGAAGCTGTCATCGACAGGGTGGGTGGCGCAGGGCGGGGCCGCAGGTCAGCGACTGGCCGGCGGTGCCACAGTGACAGACCGGGGTTTGCGTCTGAGAGACCTTGAGATTGACCAATGATTGCTCTCGCCGGGGGCGCAGCAGCCCATCTACTGGGTCGAAGCCTGTCAGATTGAGCCGTGTGCATATCAAGCTGATCAGAGTCTGATCTGACGCGCACCCCTCTCTCTGACTTCCTCGGTGGCGGAACGCACAACGCCGCCCGGCAGTCGACGTTCACGCGCAACAGCGCCGGCCGCGGCGGCGCGGTCAGCTGGGCCGTCGACCGCGGCGCCCTCGGGGTGTCCACGGCAGCTGCCCTGAAGCTTCTCACAGGGCCGTCCCGGAGGGGCGCCAACGGCACGGCCATTGACGGCAACGCTACGAGCGCTTCAGACGGGTGGCCGACGGCCGGTTGGGGCCGGGTGTTCGCCCGCCGCGCCGCGCTCGCGGCCGCATCGCCCGTGGCGGCTGCCAGCCGCTTCGAGCGAAACAGCGCAGCGTCCGGCGACGGCGGCGCGCTTGCGCTGTCGGGCAGCGGCTCGGCGTTCCTGCTCGTCGGCGCGCGCCTGGCGGGCAACTCAGCCGCGGCCGGCGGCGGCGCCGCGAGCTGCTTCTCCGCCGGCGGCGCCCTGCTGGTTGCGGGCGGATCCGTGGCCAATAACACCGCCGGCGCGGCCGCCGGCGGCGGCGTGCTGGCCGGCGGCGCGGGGCTGAACGCGACGGCGGCGGGCGCGAGTTTTGAGGGCAACCGCGTCGGCGGCGCCGGGTCCGCAGGCGGCGGGCTCTGCTGCCATGCGTGCGGCGACGTGAGATTGGAAAACAGCACGTTCGAATCCAACGCCGCCCGCGCCTATGGCGGCGGTGCTGCAATCCTGCGCGCCACCGGCCGCGTCTGGGTCGACGGCTGCGCCTTCCGCCGCAACGCCGCGCTGCCCTCGGGCGCGCTGCTGGCCCCAGGTCCAAAGCCAGGGCAGCGCGCGGCCCCGCGCCGCGCGCGCGCGCGGTCGCTGCTGCAGCCAGCGGCGCCCCTCGCCCCCGCCTCCCCTGTGTCAAGCGACCTGCCCATCTTGCCGATGCGGGTTGGCAACGGCGGCGGCGCGGCGGCGCCGGTCGACCCGGCGTCACTAGTGACGTCGGCGGTGGCCATCGACCCGGCGAACGTCACTAGTGACGACCTGCAGTACCCGGGCGGCGGCGGGCTGTACGTTTCGGCGGATGGCACCGTGATGGTGCGGGGATCCACCTTCACCGACAACGCTGGCGCCAACGGCGGTGAGGGGCTGGATGGGAGCTGCATCTACACGGGGAGCGGTTTTGTGATCTTGAAGTTGATACTGTCGCTGAAACCCTGCGAAATCAGGATGCGGGCAGTCGTGAGAGTTCAAGAGACTGCTGCCCTGCCGCGTGTACTGCGTTCCCTCACCCCAGGCCTATTCCCGGCGCAAAAACCCTCAAACCTCCCGGCCCGGCAGGCGGCATCATCGTCCGCACAGACCTGTGCAACACAACCACCGCCGCCCGCGCCGGCCCCGCCGCCCCCGCCGCGTGCCTCATCCTCGCTAGTGGCAACACAATCACCCGCAACTCCGCCGAAGACGGCATCGGCGGCGGGCTGCTCGTAACAAACGCGACCCTCGCCTTGACCAGCTGCTCCGCCGCGCCGGCGCCCGTCCCTTCGACTTCCGCTGCTCTCGCCGGCCTCGTCGGCCTCAAAGCGTGCCTGGATAAGGCGCGGAACGGCACGGCGACATTCAAATCCCTAGGGCTGCCGTTTGAAAACGCCGCGCCAGACAACGACACCGACGACATCGGAAGCATCGTAGCCCGCCTCGCCATCGCCTGCGCGCGGCCTGTGGTGCTGCCGGGCGCCGCGCAGGCGGGCGGCGCGGGGGTCTGCGGCGCGGCCGCGCCGGGC